TTATATATATATATATATATATATATATATATATATGATACTGTGTTTGTCTACAGAGGATGTCTTTGTATCAAAGCTTTAGTGTTGGGCTGACGATGAGATAGGCAAAAAGAAGTCTTTTTCCTCTGTTTTCTAAGTAAATGAGTATGTATGAATTATTTTATTTTATTGTCATCTTTCCCTTTTCCATATATACTTAGAAAGGCTTCTTTGGCAGGAATATTAATTATTCACTAACATGTTGATAGATATATAACCGTCATCTATTTTAATTAAATAAAATACAAAACTAGTATCCGTGTACTGTAATAACTCTACGCTCATGGCCGATCATTATCGGACACGGGTATAGTTTCTCCAGTATTGGATTCGCATCCGACCCGTTTCCCCGATAGTGTTTGGTGTTTGGCGCGGCTTTCCTTCGATAAAAAGAGCAGCGCTCTATTCATTTCCACAGCTCAAACTCCTTCTGGGGGTGTGAGGGAGATGTCGGAGAGGCGAAGGGAGAGGGAGAAGCTTCGGGACCGCGACCGAGAGAGGGACAGGGATCGCGACCGCGAGAGAGATCGAAACCGAGATCGAGATAGGGAACGGAACAGAGATCGAGACCACCGGAAGCGGTCGCGATCCAGGTCCCTGTCGAGGTCCCGCTCCCGTTCGGCCGAGCGCCACCGCCGCCGCCACCACCGCCGCTCACCTTCCCCAGACACCCACCGCCACAAGCGCCGCAGGGAGGGCAGCGATGACGATCGCGACCGCCGCCGCTCCTCCGCCTCGGAACACGCCGAAGGCGGCCCTAAGGAGCAGAAGAAGCAGGCGGGCGACGATCAAAGGGACGGAGAGGCAGCAGCGCCGACGGACGCGGACCCCGACGAGGTGGAGATGATGAAGATGCTAGGGATCCCGCTAGGGTTTGATTCCACCAAAGGGAAGCCGGTGGCAGGCAACGACGTGAGTGGGGTGAGGGCGGTGACTAAGCGGCAACCGAGGCAGTACATGAATAGGAGGGGAGGGTTTAATCGGCCCTTGCCCCCGGAGCCGAACCGCTAAAATCTGATATCCGGCCGAAAAGGTTAGGGCTTGTGTCTTGCCCTCATTTCAGTTTTTATTTATTTACTTTGCCATTGAACTTTTACTTCCGTTTCTAAATCCGTAACATTTTGGTTCTTCTTGCTATATAGCTACTAAATTGTGTGATTTTCCATAGAGTTAATGAAATTATTTGAGTTCTTTACTAAAAAAAATTGCTTGAGGTATCTTAGGTTGTGAATTTAATCTTGAAATAGGATTTGCATTTGGTGTAAGGAGTTGATGTGCTTTTTCCCATCGATCTTTTGATGTTCTGGAGCAATGCCCGCTAGATAGAGCCACTACTATACATTGTGAAGTCCAAGTGTGTTAATCTAGATTCATTGTGTAGCATGTCGGAGGCACAAATTGCTAGTATTGTGTAATACATATAATTACTCTGGTTATACACTTCCAAATTTTCTGGACAAGCTTTTGACACAGGAACTAGAAATACATAGCATTAGTTCAGGGATGGGCATACACTTTCTTGAGCGACATCAAGATCTATGAGTGCACTATAGTTGATTGAGAGTTCACAACATATCACAAGTAGATTTGAGAACATACTAAACAAAAGGGGTTCTAGTAATGCTTTGACCAATGTCCCTTGTAAATTGCTGTCTGATTCAGATATTGATAAGTGAAATTTGGTTTCCATGTTATTGAGGCTGTTGTGAAATATGTATCATATAAGTTTTAGTGTGAAAATAAATATTATATACGGCATATATCCATGGAGAAGAGCAGTTAACTAGTAACAGAAAATGTAGATTGTTTAATCCTTGCTCTTTGGAACCAACAATTTTATAAAGTTAACAGTGGGAAGAGGCGTCTGTCGACACTGATAGAGTAACAGTTTCAACTGAGGCTCCTAGCCCATGGGAGACTTTTTTTCATGGGTTATATAAGTGTCCCTTTCGGCAGAGAGTTGTGTTTGTTTCATCAGTTATGGTTTTCGATTGGGATTATAGCTATTAACTAAGCTTTCTTATAAATATGAGTATTGAACCTTTAGCTTAATTCGGTTTGTCTTTTGTATGTACTGGTTATGTCTTGAGCTTGTTCAGACATGGTGGAAGCGCATGCGTAGCCTGACATTATTCCAAGACTGAAAGGAAATTTTGTATTGTGCTCTTATTTCATCCTTAACAGATGCATGCCAATCACTTAACATTAAGTGACATGTTCTTTCCTTCAAATTTTTTACAATCACTATTGGAACTTATTTATCATTATTTTTTTCGTAGTATTTGTTCTGTTGATTAAAAAAGGCATCACTAAAAGAACTTCGTTTGTTATACTTGTCTTGCTTTATCAATAAATACTTCAATTTGATCCCTTTTGCATTTTTTGCTTTTAGCATAGGTTTCCTTACCACCTGAAAAGATGTTGTTTTCCATAAAGTTACTGATTTTCATATTTCTGTTATTTCAGATTCTGAAATCAAGCTGTTGAGTTGGGAAAAGTTGCAAGTCCTCATTTTCTGAATTTGATCCAGGGATGTGGTCAGTCATGATTGTGTGATATCATCTTCTATCCATTATATGTTATAACATTTAAGCCTTGCCTTAGTGTTATTACTTGTTGAAACATTTATAGGATGCTAGATTAAGAGTTTTGCTTTGTTTCATCTTCTGCCCTCTGCCTCTCATGACTGCAGATGTGTTCAAATCAGTCTTACCTATTGGACAAGATGCCCGCTGTTTCATATATTTTGGTGAGTCCTAAGAAATTGTTGGTGTGGCTTTATCTTTATTTTTGAATGCTGACATTTTGCTTGTTATTCCGATCCGTTGCACAAGAACCCAGCCCTAAAGAGGTAAGAAGCTGACACCCACCCATTGTCATTTACTCAGTAATCATCAGGTGCAGTGGAAATATCTGGGATTTCTGCAATTCAAGAAAATAGCACTGTTAAAGTTCCTGCCTATTTCATGACATGTTCATTGATGAAAATTTTAGTATCTTTCTTGTCTAACCTAATGCCAACTTATAGGAAATGATGTATCGGAACTCAGCATAATATTTCTCTGACATACAGCACATCATTTTCAAACTTAACATGTATATGTCTCCGCTTGTCTTGTGCAGCACTTTTTCTTTTTCATTTTCGTGCATGGCGTAGGAAGTTTCTATATTATAGAAAATAATCCTTTTTCAGATCCTGTGTGATTGAGGGAACCATGTTAAATTCTTCTTGTTTTCAAGAAAGGAGTTTTTAGTGTTAATTTATCTGAATTGTGTTTCAATTTTGTTTGTAGATGTAATTTGGAGAACTTTCATGCCTTTGTTGCGCTTTAAGAATTGTACCGATCTCATCTTCTTTTGAACTCCATTTCCACCTTTTTTTTTTCTGCTGTTCTTTTTTACCTGTTTGATCATCGAAGATCTCGGGTTGGCATCCCGACAAACACCTATTGGGCTCGGGGTCTCTCGTTTAACAATGTGAATTTAGCTAAACACAAGATCAAACCCTGAAGAAAATAGAATAGGATATCCACAATGGTTGATTAGCATAAACATATATCTAAAGAAAAAAAAAAAAATCATCTTTTTCTGAGGTACGATGTAAACCTGTGATATGTCAACCAGCACGATGCAGTTTAGGGATTGGTTCAATATACAGAAAAAGTTGGACCTTTAACGAAGAGCAGTGCCATAGTGTCAATACGAACAGAAGAGCATTAAGACGACAGTAGTGTCCCCTTAATGAAGACTAGTCCTGAGTGCATATAAAGTGTGATTGTCAATGGGCAACAATATGAATGGACCTGAAACTGCTGATCCACGAATACTCATATTTGTCGAATAATTAAATTAATGCAATGATCTGCATCTAACAATTGTCTCAATGCTGAAGCTTTGTGCAGAAGCCAGTCGGTGCCGTGGGTGGCCTCTTGCTGCAGATGGCTTCCGAGAAGGTGTCCACCAACTGCCCTGCGAGGCTTGCAGGATCATCGATCAAAGTGTTGACGTACACGCTAACAATTCTTCTCTCCTGTAGGGTTGCCCGTAAACTGAACCAAGTTAAGAACTTCACCCTGAAGTTGGTTTCGATGTGCCCTTGGCATTCCAACCATCTGATCACCTTCACGCAGTACTCGTATGCCCCTTCCAATGACCAGTCCTTAACGTTGATGCCTTCAGTTTTCCCTGCACCTCTTTTCTCGGATGAACTCCCTGGTTCCCGAGCTGCCTTCGTCGAGCCATTCTCATATATTTCAACACCAGATTTCCCTTTGCTGCACCTCTCAAGGCTTTGTGTTCCTGTTTCCACCCCGCATGGGGTGGCAGGGAGAATCACCATATCACTGACAACAGCCCGAGTGTTAGATTCATTCTCTGATTTCTGGATGTCGGATGCCTGGTTATTCTCCAAGAAGTCAGTGGAATCTATCAGAACAGTTGAGTTTGGTTCCTCATCTAATGCAGAATCAGAGTGCCCTAGTGACTCCTCTGGCTGAAGAACTCTGGCTCTACCGATGCATCCCTTGCTCATTTGGTGGCCATGACCTGATGATTTTTCTGTCTCGAGGATCTCAGGCTTCTCACAGTCATCAAAATCAATTTTGGGCAGCTTATTCAAGTCAGCACATGCGGTAGTGTTTGCATTATATTCGTCTCCCTCTGAAGGATTAGACGATCCGCTACCGTTTGTTTTTGGGCTTTGACCGTGTGGTTTTGATGCAGTCATCTCCGATGACAAGTTGATAGAGTTCTCCAGTGCGATACCTTCAGTTTTAACTCCAACTTCCCATGTATCGAGATCCCTGGTATTGCTAAAAGCTACTACCTTAAACATATAATCTGTAGCTGGAGAAAGTTCTGCTATTTCCAACCTTTTCTCTGGATTCAATAGAGAAAATGATGGTTTGTCAGGGTATTCTGAGATGGCAGCCTTTCGGTGCCACAAATTGAAACCAGCTAGTTCTTGACCTAATGGTGTGTTATTCTCTAATTCCAAAACCACAGTAACAGATGTTGATGATATCCGTTCAAATTTGATAAAGCTTGAGAATACCGAACCGGCTTCTGCAGGCAACAAACAATTATAAGGAAACAATGACTACAGCATCAAAAAGATACCGAAAAGGTTCAAGAAATCTGAGGCTTTGAGAAGCTTACGTTGAACTATAGCATTAGCTGATGAGGAACTAGAGTGCATCGAATCTAGTAAGTCTACTGCAAGGGCACAAAGTTTCTGGACTTCAGCGGCAACAGAAAGCCGGTTGACAATTCCACGAGCCATGTTTGATGAATCATCGATAGGCCCAACCTCAGCCTCCAGTTTCTTTCGTGCCATGTCAACTATCTCGTGCAAACTTTGGTACTTCTCTGTTGCTCCGAGAAGTTTATGACTAAGAGAAATCCGGTAACACAAAACATCGACCCGACGTGCATCCTTGGCAATCATGAGCTGCTTTTTCCAGCATCTGCAGAACCAAAAGGGAAAGGTTATAAGTGAACCACCAGAATTGTTCGATATGTGAGCTACATACATATCGCTAAGCGCTATATATTTCAGTTGTGAAGCAAAGACAGCTCTTATAGGATGAAAAAGCGCTATATGTTTCAGTTGTGAAGCAAAGACAGCTCTTATAGGATGAAAACTGTTCGTGCAAAGACAGCTATTGTGTTCTATCAAAGGCATGCATCATCAATATTAATCAGACACAGATTCTGAGATTTTCAGACAAAGACTGCAAAGAAACGTCGATTACAAATGGCTAAATGCATGTAAGGGAAATCATTGTAAACAAGTTAGCAGTATGTCGAAGGAATTACCCGAGCAAGTCATTAGCTTTTCCACAGTGTGTACAGTAATAGCTCCCGTCCAATCTTGTGCACTGCCCACTCTTCATGATACCTGCTCGTTCATGCTTAAGAGCACACTCAAGATGACAAGATAGGCCACAAGAGTCAGCTCGGGGAGGAGTCTCTGAGCCACAAAACAACCAAAGGCTAGGATCCTTGTTGTCATCATACTTGCGACAGATACAACACGAGCAACGCTTACAGAACGCGTCTTCCATGTTAAGAATAGCCCTGCAGGCTGAATTCAGGCAGTGTCTTGTGTTTTCTGGAACTTGTTCTGCGTCACTTGACCGAAGGTGGTTGTTCATGATGAAGGCTAAACGCGATGGATGCTCGTTCTTTCTGTGTCTCTTAGCTGCTGGAGTTTGAGGACCAAGTGTAGATGCAACCTTAGCAAAATCCCCGTCCTTTGCAGGTTCTTCAGATCTTTTATCAGAGACAACTCTGAAAAGGAATTCGATCATTTTCTGTTTTGTTAAGCTGGTATACTTCCTCTCCTTTCCTATCTCTGTGCACAGGATCTCCAAAAGCTCACGCCGGCTCCATGTCTGCAGCTTCTCAGAGGCACTCTCAGGCCATTTTGACAATTCGCGGACGAGATCTCTCTTCTCCTCTATGCTCAACTTGCTACATTTAGATGGGTCAAGTGCAAATCCTGAAGAGCGAACTCAGACTTAGTGAAAGATCGATGCATCTAAAACATGTCGATGGCATACGATGTTTGAAGGAAACCAAAATGTAGGATGATAAAAGAAGATGATCCATCTAGTGTTCATGAAACTTACACTACTGTAGAATTCCCTGACTAACTATTGACTACAATATTGTTTTCCTTAGTACTGTAGAACTGTAGTAGTATAACAGGCAGAGGATCATACCACCGAAGCAGAAACCTCTTGTCAAAATGAACCTATCGAAGAAAATTAAAGGTAATTTGAAGATAATAACAGTACATTCCTGCTCGAGTGCATGAGTGAAATAAATGCACTATTTGATGCAAGCAAAATGCTCAACTTATAAAACCATTATCTATTTGATGGAAGCATGGAAATGCATGGCTTAAACTTGAAGTCTTGTGTGGAAGTGGAAGATGATCCATCTATCACAGAACCCCAAAATGTTTCAGGACCTGAAGAAAGGCAAAAAAGTAATCAGAGAAAGAACTCCTTAGGAATTAAAACCACATTTTATTATTTTCCTGAAGAAAGGCAAAAAAGAGTTTATTATTTTCCTTAGGCAATTATAAGCATTCCCAATGGAGCTTTCACAAACCGCTGATCGATTTGATAGCAAACAAGAAAATGGAACTACACGAAAGGGAACAAAAGCGAACCACTCGCGACCCTATAAAAATCCAATTTTTATCTCGCCAAAGAGCCCCTTAACATCCCAATTCGATCAGAGCAGGAACCACACAAGAACGCGGAAGACCCTTGAGAGTTCCAACTTCGACGGAAACCCCGTCAAATCCGCCGTTATAACAAGCAGATCGGGAGCGCCCCGCGCAACAATCACCAAAAAAAACGTAACAAAGGAATCATAAACGGCAAGGGAAAAGGGACGAGACGGCTACCGGAGAAAGGGGGATCCATGGCGGGCGACCTCAGAGCTCCTCCGCCCTTCACATTGCCCTAAAAGCCCGAACCTTTTTCCGCCCCCGGGACGCCGCTTGCCGATCCAAATCGAGCGACAGCAGTGTTCCCATCAAAATTGCCGTCACGTTTACTCTACCCAACCAAGTGAAAGAGAGGGAGACGAATACAAAGCACGGAATCCGCGCGTCGAGATTGGGACGTCGCGGCGAAGGAGGCGCAAGAGAGAGAGAGAGAGAGAGACTTATATGTCGTGCCAACCAACGCAGTGTATGATGTAATGAAGCTATTTTAGCTGACGTAGTGTGCAGGTCCAATCTACGTCACCATTCTTTGTTACAGATTAGCTTATATGTCGTGGTAATTAATGATTTAATGATTTGTTTTTATGCTTATTTTTAATAAAATATTGAATTATATATATATATATATGTTTTAATTATATTTTTTTTATTTATGCGTTATATTTATCATGAAACTTAAATCCGATTACAATTATATACCAAACCTATCTATTTATCGAAGGTTATCGATTTAAAATTTATTTTATGATTTTTATATAAAAATATTAATATGATAATAATATACTATATTTATTTACTAAAAATTAAAGGTTCAGAAATAATTTTTCGACACACACTGTTATTTATCATGGCCTTCTAAATAAACTAAAATAAATAGCACATTTTTCAATCCAATTTTATAGATTTCTAATGATGGCCGACATGGAACACTGGAATTACATGCTTGTCACGTTGTGTTGTTGTCATTACATGCTTGCATAACACGGCTCCATCGACGCTGCCGCTCTTGGTTGGATGGATATGTTTGGAGCGAGGTCTCGATTCCCATGCAACTTAGTCCGACACGTGGTTGTCCGGTCAGCAAGTCTCTCGATCAATTATCAAGTTAAAATATCAAATATATCAAACATGTTTTATTCAAAATATTTTTTTTCGATGGTATTAATTATAAAAGACCCATCAAACTATAACACACAGTTTCTCACTTCATTTTATTACTAATTTGATCGTCGAAATGATCACGTCGAAAACTTTACCTAACCTTAATTTTCTCATATGTCAGCACCAAATCGAATACCCAAAACTCTTCTCGAATTATTTATATAAATAATCAACTAACCTTTCTCTCATCTCACTAGGGTTGGTGGAACCCATAGAATAAGGGTCGCTGTTAAATATATGAATAATAGTGTTTGTTTATACTATTCCAACTTGACATATTTATTTTTCTTCTATTCCTATGACTTGAATACATGTTAGGAGTGTTTGGTCTCGGACTAGTTTAAGTTTGATTCCTCGTGAAATATGACATAATCCTTTTGACTTCAAAAAGGACAGACAACCCAACCCAACCCACCTGTATTATTATTACTTGGAAATTTATATTATCTGTAATATTTTGTCTATTTCCTGTGTGCATGAATGATGAGAATAAGTGAGACATCTTTCATTTCAATTTGACTTGAAATCTTTGAGAAGAATGTATTATTAACACAAGTACATAGTTGATCGTCGTGAAAGAAATATTATTATTGCATGAAACTAACATCACATAAGATCGTACATTATCTCCAACAGTAGTCCGATCGCCATCATCTTCCTATCACCGAGGATATGATCAAACCTAATCGCTACAATGATTGACATGCATGTCTTATTCGTGGTATTATTGTGAATTGACGTCACAAGCAATTGGGAACGACATTTATTTTGCTTGTGACAGCGAGAGAAGCGGTCAATTAAGGCCTCATCAGCTCACCCACTGCTGCTAATCTCCATCTGAATCGATTGAACGACTCCTCTTTTGTCTCTTAGTTGGGAAGATAAGAGGGATCTTTTGGGCCATAAAATAATGTGAACTCATGTGGCTCCACCTGCACAATATATGATAATGATTCTGGTGCAATTTTATGACACAATTAATTAAACATGGGTTGATCTAAAAGCAAATCTTGAATATAATTAAGTTAGAAATTTCAAATTAGATACTAATTTTGAGCAAATCGATAATTTTCTTTTATCTTTTATCAATATCAGATTGAATTCGAAAGATGTTAAATCTTATAAGAGTATATATCTAAAAAAGCTTATTTAGAGTTGAGGTGTCGATAAAGTGTCAAGAATAATAAATAAAGTTGAAGGCATATTGATATTATGATTCCTAGATCAAGTTAAAATAGTATTATATCAAATTTAAAGAAAATATGATTGGCCCAATATAGTTGGTATCATGTTGATCATGCATTATACAAGTATTGTGAACATGACATCGAAATATCAATCACATGATAATGATATGTCGGTAATATAATATTGAGGTGTCGATCGTTACCTACTTATTCAACATAGTTTTAAATATTAATTACAGCTAAAATCTTGATTAAATGTTAAGATCGATGCATTAATTCCTTTTTATTTATTTATTTTTTGACACAGCATGTGGGTTGAAACCCCACCCAACACCATTTCCAAATCCCATCGATACAAACAATAGAACGTAAAGGAAGAAAGACGAATATAATGGACGTGATATATTTCATTTCATGTGATGCTCATACATCCTCAATGCATTATTTAGTCGCTCTGCCTCTGCCATTATCATCGACATGTATAAGAGGACAAAAACTGGATGGATTCGTGGCCACCATTTTAGCAGTCTATCGCTTCTCTCATGATTGGATTAGCCAAACATATCAACTCATCTGATTTATTTTGCATGTTAGATCTAATTAGCAATTTGCTTACAATTATTTGATATTGTAACATTTGGACACTCCTTTTCTGTGTCACATAATTCCTCTATCTTAGTCTGCACAACCATGATGTCCTCCATCTGCATCACTCAAACATGCATCCCGAAACATAATTCGATAATTAGATTTGGTTTGTGTTCTTGTGTAGTGCCTCTCTCATCTTTCTTTTTTGAATTATTGAATTTTAATGTTCATTTATCTTTGATCAAAATATTATTATTATTATTATTATTATTATTGTAGTTGTTGTTGATGTCAAAATAATACTGAATCGTATAATTATTGGCTCTCTAAGTTTAATTTGAGATGTAAACCCAAATGGGCCGAGAATGGGCCCAAAACAGGTGTGCTTGGGATCGGAAGCTCATGGCAGTTTCTGAGGCTCTTCACATTGGATTGGGAACACACGATAATATATGTGATTTCATGGATTTAATCTCAAAGATGAGAATACATTAGGAAAAGGATGCCCTCAAATACAACTCTGTATCAATGTAAGCTTTAGTTAGTCATGCTAGTGAGGATCGGTGAGAGTTGCTGCAGTTGGAGAGGGACTTTTCATGATTGCTCGAGTTACCAAAGCTGATGAAAAGAAAACCAGCACCAAATGTGCACATTCAAATGATGCATGTTTCTGACATAAAACTATGATGATCTCTTTTGTGAACCCAATGGTCCCAGTTTTCAGCAAAACATGACAGCATTTGATGAGAGGAGTTGGGATTTTGTCTCCCACACTTGATGATGCTAAAGAGAGAGAGAGAGAGAGAGAAGGTCAATGAACACAGTCCTTGATTCACTAAGTGGTCTCTTGGTAGAGTGACAGGCACTGATGAATGGTTGAGCAGAAACCACAAAAGAAATCTCCTTCTCAAATAGCCATTAGTGTAACAACTCCATGTAACAGATGCACTGAAACCCTATTAAATGTTAGCTCTTCTTTTTTGCTCCCCTCCTTCCTCCCTACTTTGTGCGTTTGACTAATTGCTTTTTTGTTTGGCTCTTTTTCCCTTCTGACCAGCTTTGATTGTTTGCCATTTCTTTTCCTTTTACTTTGTGCATTTTGACTTGCTTCCACCAGCTGCATCCACAACTGCCAAGCAGTAGTAATGAACAGGTTTGTGATTGTAGGGCATCCAAGAACTCCATCTCTTTCCTGCTCGATGCAGCATCATAATAATGGCTACCGCTTCGTGAACCAAGCGAGGCATGAAGAGTCAAACTTTGACCAAAAGCCGCATCGTCACATGCGAGTGTCATCTCATATCCAACAGTAAGAATCTGTGATCGCCAAACTCCAATATAATTAACCCGGCCAGCTATAGATGCAGTACACTAACCCTTGTCATTCCCAGTCAAAATCCTTGGGGAGGAGATTGCAACAGTGGTTTCTTCAACTAGCGCCGAAAGAAGCTAACCGATAGCCATCTTCGTAGGGCTGATTCCGGAGATGAGGCATGAAAAAGACTCCGAAGCCACCCAAAAGACAGCACCAAATATTCCCCATTTCAGCGTGGTGGTGTTCCATTCTGATTAGTTTTTTTGCTGTGTTCTTCATCTTTTCCATCTTTTTGGACAGCGGCTACAGCTGCACGAAGCATTTGATTATTTATTCCCCTTCCTTCTTCCTTCAATTATTAGCAAGCTTTAGGACGCGGAGCACCACACGCGTTTTGAATCTGTGAGTTCTGCTGCATGGTGAGAGGTACGGCTGTTGTCCCGTATGAATACGTTCTACGTGTGGCACTTTCTCACGCACTCATACCCCGCTCCGTCCACCCTTTGGCAACATGGGGAAGAAGAAACCCCCTGTCGTTGCAGTAGCTACTTTTCCTGTGGAGCATTGCATTCGCATCACCACTTGCGATCGTTTCAAAGAGCGAAACGAAGATGAGAGTTACGTGAGAGATGAGGAGAACTCGTGAAGACGATGAGATCGATGCGCTCTAGGCGGATACACACCTGAGCAGTAAAAGTACTGCATTACTAGATGAAAGAACACTGCGTATTCCTTATGATCTGCATCATTGCCTCGGTATCCATCTTTTATCTTATCATCATGATCCATACGTATCCCATCCTGTTATGATTGGACAGTCATTCTTGTTGCTTTTAGGTTTCCCACCTCTCTCTCTCTCTCTCTCTCTCTCTCTCTCTCTCTCTCTCTCTCTCTCTCTCTCTCTCTCTTTTCATCTTTCA